AATGCACCTGGGCTGCTCCCCACCAAGTTGGATAGCTTACTGAAAACAGGCTGCTTGGTGAGTGAAACCTCCTGGCCGTAGATACCAACTGTCATAGGTTGCTCATAAGAACTCTGGCAATCAAACCTAAGACACTGTAGGCTCAAAAAACTGTGCGTCATCCCAGTGGTTCATGGATCCTATGAGCATGGTTTACAGACCATCTCTTTACTACTTGCTGTCTCTCCCACAACCAAACTCAGGAGGCCCCAAACCATGAAAGTTTCTTTTCAGCTTCCTTGTACATAGATAGCACTTTCACAAACAGGCGTCAGTGGTTTGTACTTTCAAGAAGGTGGGGGCGGGGAGTGAAGATGGGAGAAGGCTGTTTTATTTCCTCAGGACTCTCAGTTGATGAGACAAAAATCAACTAAAACCGAGGTTTCAGAACAAAAAAATCTGAGCACAGGGGTCTTTCCTGAGACTGATATCCAACCAAGTACCATGCATGGAGATAACCCAGAACCCCTGCACAGATGTAGCCCATGGCAGTTCAGTGTCCAAGTGGATTCCATAATAATGGGAACAGGGACTGTCTCTGACATGAACTGATTGGCCTGCTCTTTGATCACCTCCCCCTGAGGGGGGAGCAGCCTTACTAGGCCACAGAGGGAGACAGTGCAGCCACTTCTGATGAGACCTAATGGACTAGGATCAGAAGGAAGGAAAAAAGGACCTCCCCTTCCAGTGGACTTGGGGAGGGGCATGTGTGGAGAAGAGGGAAGAAGGGAGGAGTTGGGAGGGGAGGAGGGAGGGAACTACAGGGGGTATACAAAGTGAATAAAGTGTAATTAATAAAAAATTTTAAGAAAACTAAAAAAAATTAAAGTCAGCCTATGTCATGTATGTTCGGTACAGGGGCTTGGTTCATGCTGTGAGGACTCTGTCTCTTTGGGTAATATTTTGCCTAGCTCTAACTTTCATTAAGCACAGCATGCTCCTGGCATCTGCTACCTATGGCCTTCCTTCATGGTCCCTGGAAAGCTTAGATAACACATGTATTCCCCCTGGCTCAGCAGTATAGGTAGAATGAGCCCTGGCAAGCCAGGTGGAAAGCCTTGACTGTGAAAGGGTTTAAGATGTACTGACCACATTAAAACTAGAGGCACTCTTATCTTACATAGTCAGCATGTGCAAATATCCTTACAATTAGTGTCTCAGGGTTTCTATCGCTGTAATAAAATACCATGACCAAAAGAAACTTGGGAGGAAAGGGTTAATTTCACTGTACAGCTTGTAAGTCTATCACTGAAAGAAATTCAGAATCAGAGGCTTTAGAGCTGTGGTTCTCAGCTTTCCTAACACTGCAGCCCTTTAAATACAGTTCCTCAGGTTGTGGTGACTCCCCCAGCCATAAAATTATTTTCATTGCTACTTCATAACTGTAATTTTGTTACTGTTATGAGTCATAATTTAAGTATCTATGTTTTCTGATGGCCTTAGGGCAATCTTTAAGGATTGTTTGAATTGTTGAGGATTGAAAGGGTTGTTTAACCCCAAAGGAGGTATGATCCACAGGTTGAGAGCCATTGCTGCAGAAGGCCACTGCTTACTCACGTTCTTCCCAAGAGTGACATCGTCCTCAGTGAGTGACACCCACCCACATTATTAATCAGGAAAATGTCCCGCAGACTTGCCCGCAGGCCTGTCTGCTGGAGGCAAATTGACCTAACTTGTGTTGAGGTGACAAAACACTAGCCAGCACACAGCAAAGTTGAGGTTTGTCTTTTCACTTATTTGGATGGTTTTGTTGTGGTTATTAAATCATTTTAAACTTTATTCTGAAATAACTGAGTTGATCTTACCAGCATTACCACAAAATTAGATGCAAATCAAGTCAGTACACAGTGATGTGAAATCACTGAAAAGCCAAATATTAAGTGCTTCCTCTCATGAAAATCTGCTGTGGCTACTTTGTACCTTCCTCAGATCTCATGGCTTCTAATAATAAATGCCTGTCATAATTTTTAGTTGACCTTAATAATAGGTTATAACTCTAATGGAGGAAATCTCTACACATTAATACCCTCTAATCACAATAGTTTAAATAGTATTCTAAGTAAAGACTATTTTTGGTTAAATATTGCTCAAAATTAAGTAATTAAGTAATTTGCCCCAAAATTCCCACAATTCAAGCATACTCCATGTGAATGAGTTAGCTTGAATATATTTCAGAACTTTCAAATTTGTTTGATATTTTAAATCTGCAGAGTTCCAGCTAGAAGATGACAGTTAGAGCATGTCTCAGAGGTGTTTGGTATAACAGCCCTTCATCTTCATGGGAAAGAGTACATAAAAGATTTTGACTTTAAATTGACTAACATTAATAATGTATCACACGTTCAAACTTTTATTAGAATTCAGTCTTTAGTGTATGTAATTTTTTTCAGGAAAGTTAAAATGTGCCTATTATCATCAATAAAAATATAGCTCATGACCAGAGAGCCAACACCTGGTACCAAAAAACTGTCACAAAAGTGGAAAAGCATAGTCTGTGTGTAAATTCATCTCAGCTGCTAGCTGTTTAAAACAGTACCATGTATCTGCTCACAGAACAAAAAATACTATCCTACAGAGTGTGTGTTAGTACATACAGGTGACAGACACTATGGTACAATTTGCAGCTGGCCTTTTCTTAGGTCTCTATGGAGACGAAACTCCTGATGAAGAGGTGGCTTCCTTAGGAGTTTGATCACCTTCTATTGCTGGCAAACCACACCTACCTTGGGCAGCTTTGTGCCAGGGAGGGCAGCTGCCTGGCCTGGGACAACTTGGCTGGACGCATCAGCCCCTCTGACGTTCTGCAAACCGTGTCAGCTGCTGAGCATACTGTTGATCACTCTCCTGCCTAGGGCTCTGTGGAGAGGAAACAGCATTGTGGCTTGTCAGGTGCTGCAGGGAGGAAATATCAGGGAAATAGGCACCTGCTTCTAGTCTCCTTGGCACAACACAACAGACTCAGGGCTTACTGCCCACAACAGAAGCTGAAAAATACTGGCCAAGATGCTACAGCCTGAGCATTTGTGCTCTGCCTCAGTTGATATGTTGAAACCTTAACCATCTTCCCCCTGGTCTTGGCAGGTGTAAGGACTTTGAGAGGCCTCAAAAATGGAGGATCATTGTCCTTAAAGAAACCTGTTTCCCCTTCCTGCCTGGTGAGGACATAGCCAGGAGGCACCATTCTTTCTACCATAAAACAGGAGCTGGTACCTCACCCAGTCTGTCAGCTCTTATTTTAGACTTCCAGAACTTCAAGAGATTAATTTTAGATTAATTTGTGTCATCTGTGATATTGTGTAGCGTCAGGATACTGCACAGATGAACCTCTAAGGCTTCTTAATTCTAAATGCCACAGCTTTATTTTTCTGTTAGAAGTAAACGCAGAGTGTTGGAAATGGTATGTGAAAGTTTACTACCCTCAGCTCAATACCATAATCTTACAATAATATATTTCAGAAGATTGAGAATTTTCTCTGAGTTAGGTCTTCACTGTAAATGTGAAAATCTTGCTTCTGGTACCTGGGGTTGGGGAGAAACAGCATATTTGCAAGTGTTTTGTTTAGAGATTTTTTTTTTTCCTCACTGGGCTTTTCTATGCCTTCTTTGTTCATTTTTTTTTTCTCATGACAGAATGTTGCAGTTTGACCATAATTGAGCAAGCTGTAGATAGAGCCATTACTTTGCACAGTGTGATACTTTACCTGACCATATAGGTCTCTTCTAGATACTCTCATTCATATGGTTTACACAAAGCAAGCTGCAGCAGCACACCCAACTGAAAAGCTCACACCTAGGTCAGTTCTGTAGAGATGATTTTATGATTAACATGAGAATTGGAAAGAGAAATGTGTTGTTGAAGTCTCTTGCAAGTTTGGTGGAGACAGCCTGGTATATACTGTGTCTGCATAGGTACAAGATGGCACATACTAGGTCTGTTTGTTCTGGATGGGACATACTGAGGACAGCAGGAAGGACCCCACTGTTGGTACTTGCATCAGGAGTTGGTTGTTGGAACACTGTTTAGAAGGATAAGAATTCTGGAGACAACACTGGAAAGTACATGTCTCTACATGTGATGTAGATGGGGTGAGCAGACTCTGGTTAATAGGATTTCTGGTCTGCCGTGTTTATATGAGTTTGCTGTTTATGGCCAGTAAATATGGCTAGGGTCCTTGAGAAATGGGTATGAAGGTTTGCCTCTCTTGTTGAGAAAATATGTCAAATTCTAGGAGAAAAGTCAGACAGGTTTTCCATCACAATCTTCAAAGCCCTGCCTGTATTTGTTATGTCAGTGAATCTTTTACTAATTCACTCATCATTCTGCTGTAGGAAAAAAAGAAAGAAAGAAACCTGTGTTTTGCGAGCAAAGATGAATTGCACGTGGGGAAGGAAGTCAGAAGGGCAACAGCAGGCAACAGGGCAGCAGTGTGTTCAGGGGTGCAAAGAGTAGGGGATCTTGGGACAAACTCTGTTCAGGAGGGAGGTAAGGGTATGCAGGGCAGGATACAAGTTCTTCTGTCCAAGTCCTGGCCCATTGCAGAATTGCCACAGGACTGTAAATTCATTTAGTCCAACTTCTTACCCAGTGCAAAAGTACAGTTTATACCTTTTTCCCCCAGTCCTGAGACCCAGGAGTTCTCTGAAGCTGTCCATCCTTCCAGAAGGATTTGCTTTTCTTTGTTCTTATTATTGTTTATGCCACAGACATACTGGCACACATACTGGCACTTATTAATGGGTAGAAGGGAACAGACCAGTTTTGGTAAGTATCAGCTTTTAGTAACTTCCTATCTGCCACACAGCTGGACCATTTTTGTTTCCAGCTAGTTGCTGTTATTTGCAACCAGTCTTTTTGCATCTCACCGCACCTGACCCCAGTAAAAACTTTCATGCCCTGATAGTGTAGAAGTGGGCATGGTATGTGCCCAGTTCCAACTGAACCCTTTGCCGTGTCTTCGCAGGCCTCGGAAAGACACGCAGGAAGCCAAGTGCTCGGGATGCATCCCCAACGCCAAGCACTGATGCAGAGTACCCTGCCAATGGCAGCGGTGCTGACCGCATCTATGACCTCAACATCCCAGCCTTCGTCAAGTTCGCCTACGTAGCAGAACGAGAGGATGAGCTGACCCTGGTGAAGGGCTCCCGAGTCACAGTCATGGAGAAATGCAGCGATGGTTGGTGGCGTGGCAGCTTCAATGGGCAGATTGGCTGGTTCCCCTCCAACTATGTGCTGGAGGAGGCGGACGAGGCAGCAGCAGAGGCCCCCAGCTTCCTGAGCCTGCGCCGGGGTGCTGCGCTGAGTAACGGGCAAGGTGCACGGGTGCTGCACGTGGTGCAAACACTGTACCCCTTCAGCTCAGTCACTGAGGAGGAGCTTAGCTTCGAGAAGGGGGAGACCATGGAGGTGATTGAGAAGCCTGAGAACGATCCCGAGTGGTGGAAATGCAAAAATGCCCGAGGCCAGGTGGGCCTAGTCCCCAAGAACTACGTGGTGGTCCTCAGTGACGGGCCTGCACTGCACCCCACGCACACTCCGCAGATCAGCTACACCGGGCCCTCAGCCAGCGGACGGTTTGCTGGTCGTGAGTGGTATTACGGCAACGTGACACGGCACCAGGCCGAGTGTGCGCTCAATGAACGGGGCGTTGAGGGCGACTTCCTCATTAGGGACAGCGAGTCCTCGGTAAGTGCCCAGCTGCTCCTCTGCTGGGGCCACACTGCCAGAAGAAAGCTAAGTGTGCAGTTCCCTCACGTGTGAGTTCAGGGACTCCCTCCAGCCTTGGTCTGAGGATATTCAATGATATTACAGTTCATTTGCCTGGTTCTCCATTGTTAAATGTCTTACAAAGTCTAATTTATGAGTTAGGCTTAATCATGGGCATAACAAAAAACTGATTTCTAAGTCTACCATGGTTTCAGGCATCTGCTGGAGTTCTTGGAACTATCCTTAAAAAGAACCACCTTGTGTGAGTGACATGACTGTGTGCCATTCTCTTGTCATGTTCACTGACTATACTTGAAATAGCAAAATGGTATTTGAGGGCACGTACCAAACAGGATAAATATTATTCAGGTACAGAGTCTGCTGCTCCCAGCTTAGCTAATTTTGAGTTGGGTAGACTGAGGTCCCTGTTGCGACTCCTTTCCTTGGTTGTGGGAAGATGATGAAAGCGATTTTCATCTCTCAAAGGTGATTTTGGCCCTGTAGTAAGGCTCCCCCTTTTCTAGTTTAGAGATATAGACTTTCTTTCCCTTCCTGGTTCCTGCCTATGTAGAAAACCCATTCTGATTACTTTTTCGATGCCATCTGATCTGAGTATACAGTGAGTTCTCAGCTAACAGGTGCCTGGCTTCTAACGAAGCCTTTTGTTGCTGGGTTGGTTTGTTTTGTTTTGTTTTGTTTTGTTTTGTTTTGTTTTGTTTTGTAAACCACATAATCCCAAGGTTGTCTCTGCTGCAAGCAGAGCCACTAAAAAGCTCATCTCTGAAAAGCTCTTAAAGTACTTACAAACAGTTTAACAGAAACCTGGAGTGCTCAAGGGAGATGAGAAAGTGGGAAATGAGGCCACCTGTCTGGCACAGCCAGTCCTCCTCTAACAGGTGTCTGGTTGTAGGGGGTTAGGGCTCATTGGGAGTATCTGAAAGAACCAGACACTTTCACCACAGGCAGCCTTCTGTGTGTGCCTCCTGGGAATAACACATTTTGTAGATATCTTCCCAGTGACTCTTCTAAACCTGTACGCGAGAGTCTAGTCCAGTATGTTCAAGCGTTACTGGTTCTCCTGGGTTTTTGTTTCATGTTTCCAGTGCACACTGTAAGAGCAGAATGTGTATGTTCCACCCTGCTAGTACAGTGAGCCATGTACACTGCTGCCTCAGAACAGATCTGAGAGGAGGTCACAGCCCCTTGTGGAGAGGGGCAACTAAAGTTGTTTATAGTAGAAGGAGCATTGAACTAGTGGAAACCAAATCCCTTTTTGGTGTCAGCAGGTTTTCAGACTCAGATGTTCGTAGGCAGGGCTCGAATGCTGACTATCTAAAATCTGAATACTGAGGTGTCCTGATCAAGATAAGGGTTCATCATTGCTGGCAAAGACTTCATGGCATTGTTCTCATGCCTTGGAGGGCCTGTGCATGGCTGCTTTTAGATCAAACTCTGGGCCTGGAAAGAATTAAGGACAGCAGTGCCTCCAACCCTGGAGAGCAGGAACAGGGAAGGCATTGAAAAACTGAGTACAAAATGTACAGTCCAGAGTGCTTCTGAGGCAAACACTTGAATCTGAAGTGGCTTCTTGGGTGAGAGAGGGCCTACAACCATATAGTGGGGAGGTATTGGCCTAATTTATTGACAGATGAGGAAAACATCCTCTGAGAGTTCTAGTCCAAAAAAGACCTGTTAATTTTCTGTATCCAGGTAAGCAGTTTTCTTCCCACTGATGGAGGCATTGATTGTTTACAGTGTTTTAACACTTTTTGTGGACATCCTTTATTCCACCTCAACTTAAGAAGCTGAGGGAAGACTGGCTTTTGTTGCTAGGATATGGGGCAAAGAAGGCTTTATTGGAATGTGTATCACTTCCAGAGACACTGATTGGTTTGCAGCCATGTAGAGCTTCATCTCCCCATAGTCTTGGGGTTGTTAAGCTGTGTATCTGTGCCAAGAACCTGTTACAACGGGCTCTAAGTTGTGTTAAATTTTATTCACCAGTGAAAGAATGGGGAAGATTCAGGTTTTCTGTCTTATCAGCTTCATTTCATGATGGTGAAGGGCCATGGGTGACTCCCTTCTTCATTCTTTTTCCACCTTCTGCTGCTTGTCCCATGTTCTGTGTCATTTTTCCTTTTTTTTTGGGGGGGGGGAGTTCAGGGCAGAGCTTTGTTCTCACAGCCAAGCCCATTCACATAGAACATTAATTCATGATCTAATTGCACATCACAGGGTTGAAGAATAAAAGATATTCCCAGGGGCTTGACTCTCCCACAGGACTGAGGCAAATGCATTTGAGCCTGTAGCCTACATTATGGAGGGGACTATAGGAAGCCTGGTTCCTGAATGTAAATAGGGGGTTGGGGAACACATTCTTCCTGATAGGTGTCAATTAAAATATAATTCAGGCGATTGCAAGGTAAATGAGCAAAGCTCTGGATGGTGTTCTGTACTGATAAATCTCTACTGTTTTTCTTTTTTGAAGAATTAAAATCTACTCATCTCTGGATACAGGAAAGTCTGTACTTTCCAGGGGAGAGGTGTACATTGCACATAAAATGAACATTGTTTCATCTGTACCTTCTAAGCTAGGCACTTTCAGAGCTCTGGTGGCATTGTACTAGACATGAGGAATGAACAAACAAGCAGAGCTGTTTGACTCACCCATCGCCAACTGTAGTACCCATCATCCTTTCTCTTCTGGCCTCGTTTTTTTTCTTATTCTCTTTACTTATCTATAATGATAGTTCTTTTTAAAAGCTAAAGGAGGCACAATATTTCCCTTTGTCAACCAACACCTATGTAGTCAACCTGCTTAGGGCAAAAAATTCACAGAAGCCCTGCCTGCCCTGTAGGGGCATCAAATTCTTAAGTGTTCGCCTACATTGATTCTGTAGGGGTGCTTTAAAGGCTATATTAAAATTAGTTTATTTCTGGCAAGCACTACAAGTGTCAGTGTTTTATTTTCTCAGTTACTAGATTCCTTTCCTTGTAAACGGTACTCAGAAGGCATTTGATGCAAAGGAGGCACTCTGAAAGGTAGAGAGGGTCCTGGGTTGATAAAGGACAGTATCAGCCAGCGTCAGGAGTATTCCAGATTTTGATCCCCAGAGAGCTAATAAATTTCCCTCTGGTATATTATGTGTCATGATAATAATCAGGTACTAATGTTTGTCATGTTTCACATTCATCTAAGGTAGAGAAAAAAATCCTTTGATAAAAAAGATTTAATATATTATTGACTACATGAAAAGTTAGTGGATGTTTCATTTTCCCTTCTAAAACCTATTAATCCTACTTAATTGGGAAATAAAAACTAATGAGTTCTTTGCTTTCAAATTATTATATATTTACATATTTTATTTTATGCATGTGGATATTTTGCCAGCATGTATATATTTGTACCACATGTGGAGTGCCCTTGGAGGCCAGAAGAGGGCGTTGGATCCCTTGGAACTGGAGTTACAGAGGGTTATGAACCACTTATGTGGATGCTAAGATTTGAACTGCATCTTCTAAAAGACAGCAGTGCTCTTAACCTCTGAGTCATCTTTCCAGCCTAAAATTTTTTAATTTCTTCTAGAAAGATTTTTAAGAATGAGTTGTGATGTATTTTTTAATTTATTTATTTTTTATTACAATTTATTCACTTTGTATCCTGGTTGTGGCCCCCTCCCTCGTCTCCTCCCAATCCCACACTCCCTACCTCTTCGCCCCTCTATGCCCTTCTCCTTGTCCACAGATAGGTGAGGTCCTCCTCCCCTTCCATCTGGCCCTAGCCTATCAGGTCTCATTAGGACTGGTTGCATTGTCTTCCTCTGTGGCCTAAGATAGAACCATCTGGAGGGTTCAGGAGCTCCAAAAGGAGACCAACAAAGCCAAAAACAAACAAACAACCTAGGCCCTACAGAAACTGATATCCCAACTACGGACCATGCATGAAAAAGACCTAAAGCCCCTGCTCATAGGTAGCCCATAGACTCATTCTCCAAGTGTGTGCCCTAGTAAGGGGAGCAGGGGCTATCTCTGGCATAATTCCACTGGCAGGCTCTCTGATTACCTCTCCCTGGGGAGTTGTGACATTTTCAGAATTTATTTCTTAGATAAACATTTCTAACCACAATTTCATTGACCCGTCTGTCTAGACGGGGGATTCAGACAATGAAGTTCAGATCTAGACCTTCTCAGGAGCTGTGAGTGTAGAGAATGCTGTTCTTATACCCTCAGCCCTCTTCAAAGTGTAAGCTTTCTGTCTCAGCTTGGAAAACAGAAATAGTCAAGTGAATTCCTCTAGAGTTTTCACTGCCCAGCTGCCTAGCCTGTGGCCTAACCCCAGCTGGGGTGGCATTAGGAAAAAGCAGGTTACCCTGAGCAGCAAGAGTTTCCATTGCTGTGATAAATACCATGACAAAAGGAAACTCTGGGAGAAAACAGTTTATTTGGCATAAACTTCCACATCACAATCCGTTGTGGAAGGGTGTCAGGGCAGAAAGCTGAAGGCTGGAACCTAAGCAGAGGCCGTGAAGGAGTGCTGCTTACTGGCTTTCTCTTCATGACTTCCTCAGCCTGCTTATAGCATCTGAACTACCAGTCCAGAGCTGGCACTGCCCACAGAAAGCTGTGTCCTCCCACACCAGTTATCAGTTAAAAAAATACGTGGCAGGCTTGCCCACAGGCCAATATGTTGGGAACTTTTTTTTTTTTTTTTTTTTTTTTTTAGTTGAGGCTCTCTCTTCCAAAATGATTCTAGGTTGTGTTAAACTGACCTAAAAGGATCCAGCACACTCCTGTTTTGGAAAAAAGTCATTTTTGCACATTACCAAGTGAAATTTTTCTAACTTTAAACTTACTCTCATTTTTAAAAATTATTTTAATCCAGTATGCTGATCATGCTTTCACTTTCCTGGAATCCTACCCACCTCTAAACTCCATATCTTTTCTTTTTCTCTCCCTCTCTTTAAAAACTAACAGGCAAA